GACCGATAATTCAGTGCTGACTGGACCACAGTCATGACAAAATGATTGAGATTATACTGGTGACAGACTTGCGCTGCATTTACCTCCACGCGTGGCACGACGTTACCCGTAAATTGGTTACAAACCTGCAGTTCTGCATTATGTCATGGCGAATGATGCTCTCTCATTAGATTAGGGTTAGACGCATCGATCACAAACGAAATGCCAGCCACGAGCAGTCCCACGCAAGCCTAGGTGCATCGCTTGGCAGTAAAAACTACTCATCTGGTGCGGAGGGAGTTGGTGGCTGGGTGGGGTTTCGTGCGTGCGTGCAGACTGCAGTCGCACTCGAGTTGCGTGTAGCATAGGGGCATCCACCCAGTGACAAGAGGATGAAACACTCTCAGCACGGTCTTCACTGCAGGCTCGCAGCGGCTGGTGTTACCAATTAGGCCGAACAAGGATTTTATTGGCCTGACATTTCACATTCCTGCTTGGACCCATCATCAGAGGCAATGGTCAATTCACCCAAGAGTCCAGACGGATGACGAAATCCGGCAGTCAGCCACTCGACAGCGTGCGATAAGCGTGGCAGCCGATAATCTTGACGCGTAGTAACGGCATGGCAACTGCATACTTCAACACCTGGCCAGTCCAGCTGTGATGCACTCGGGAGCTGACAACTGTGATAGGCATGTAGCGGCCTAGCAACTGCATCCTATAGATATTACAACACCTGGGCAACCCACTACCCTTACCTGGCTCTGTCTCTGATGATGGATTCGAGTGAGAATCAGAAACGTCAGGCGGGCGGCAGTGAACCATGATTTAAACAGCTAGATGCTCACGTTATTTTCACTCCTCGCGAGAATCTGGGCCTCATTGAACTTCAACTTGTAGCCAGATTTCGTTGAATGACCCGCGGCGACCTAAGAGTTGGCATCATTTCTCCGCACTGCTGCCGTATGTTCGGCCATTTCAGTTCAGAGCAGTCTTCTGGTTTTTCCGACGTAATTTTCTTGTTCGCAACGTTGCCAGATCCGATAAACGGCCTCAGAAGTTTTTTTTCTACCGCGGTTGAGGGTCTTTCGGTTGTTGTATCTGACGCTCGTTACCTAGCACGTTCAAACCATGGCGTTCACAGATTACCTTCATTATGAACTTTCGCAGTGACAAATTACGTGCAAAACCGTCGCTAGGAGTCTCCTCCAACCGATGCGCGCGTTTAGAATTGGATTTCAAATTTTGGTCCTCCGACGGGGGTTCATATTTTTCTACATTTCGACACGTTGGACGTTCCTGCAGCCAATTCGAATTAAACATTTACTTCACGATGGCAATATTTGCATCGTCCACAAACAACCACACGCCTTTCACAGAACGTGGACGTCCACCACTACCAGTTGCCACATATGTAGAAGCCTAGAGTGCAGATAGCAGATAATTACCGCCGGACAGGCAGGTGATTGATAAGAAGACTCAGGCAACTGAAATCACATCAGAAAAAAATGAGGCTGCAATGGACTAATGATTGAAGAGGGAACGATTGGCACAGTACTGCCACAAACACGACGCGGTTACTTCAAGAAAAGGACCCCAAAGGGGAAGACAACCTGAACATCGTCATGAAAGGTTCGTCAGAAACTCCCAAGTCACCATCAACACGCAACAAAGACAGGCCGTTCCGAGAACAGTGCCTGTTAATACAGGGACTTCAGGAGGCACACACAGACACACCTGAAGAACGCGTTCTGGCAGATCTCGGTCTGCTTTAAGGTCTTCTGAATACAATGCTTCAACCAAACCAAGAAGTTCCGGTATTGAAAGCCTTCAGGCTTGTAAGACGCACTACTGAACCCTCCATCTCACGGCATCCTAGGCCCCTAAAAATTGTTCTGAGTTACAAAGAGCATGTCCATCTCATCCTTTCAAGGCGTTTTCAATTAAAATATTCCAACCAAGTGGTTTTGCAGCCGGAATGCGCATCACCGGAACGGCTAAAACGCCAGCAATTAGTCCAGGAGCTCAGGCTACGACAGAGAAGTGGCGAATAAATCTTGGACTGATATGAATTAGAAGCGATCGTTGGAACAAGAGGTCTACTTGCCTGACGTTTCGGATTCTCTCTCGAACCCATCATCAGAGACGGTGACAGAAACGGGTCACTCTCACTGTCACCGATGATGGGTTCGAGCGAGAATCCGTAATGTCAGGCGAATAAAGCTCCTGTTCCGACGATCGCTTCTACTTATTATGAGATTCTGCAGAGGAAGGTCTTGTTTGATCAATTTACTCTACTCTCTAGAGCTGTGGACCCCTAGCGATTGATGGGGAAACGCGGTGCATGTGGCCTGCATAGACTTCAATAAGGCCTTCGATAGCGTGCCACACCAACGTCTCCTATACAAGCTCAGCCGCATAAGAATAAGAGGCAGGCTTTGAAGTGGATCGAAAACTTCTTGACTGATCGATATCATATTGTCCGTCTTGGTCACCAGCAATCGGCGGAGTTGATTGTTGCAAGCGGCGTACCTAAGAGGTCCGTTTTTGGCCCTATCCTCTTCCTCATGCATATATACTGATGACTGAATCCGTAAACTGGACTGCGACATTCCCATGTTTGCTGACGACATAAAGCTTTGGAACGTCATCCGCAGCGAGGACGATGAAGCAAATCTACAGCAAATCTGCTAGCCAGTTTGCTATCGCATGATACGGAGAGAAACCCAAATCAGGCACATCCGTCGATCAAATTCACGCTGGAGGTCGAAACGGCCGGTTCGCTCCCTTTCTTAGATGTTTTCCTAAGCAGAAGACCTGACGAGAGTGTCCGAAAAAGCGTCCATCGGAAGAAAACCTGGTCTGGACAATACACGAACTTTGCCAGTTTCATACCCCTCCAACAAAAACGAAATCTACTCCGATGTTTGGCACAAAGAGCTAAGAAAATTTGCTCAACAGACAGCATCGTTGAGGAGCTCAGAAAAATCCAGGACTTTCTTCGCGATCACGGGTATCCGGAAAGGTTTATTGCAAAGAACATTGCTGAACGACCGATCCAACCCGCCACACCGACCGCCGAAAAGAAGACTCTGTTCCTCAAGATCCCTTTCCAAGGGGACGCTGCGAGTGAATTCCTAAGGAGACGCCTTGATCAAGCTGTCTCGAGAACCTTCCCAGCAGCAAGGGTTCAAATATCATTCTCGATTAACCCGATTTTACGCGGAGAAGGTAAGGATAATTTGCCACCGCAGACCACCTCAATGTGCATCTATTCCTTCACTTGCTCCTGTGGAGAAGGTTATATTGGTCGCACGAGTCGGCGCTAATCCAAGAGAATACGGGAATACCTTCCCGCATGGCTGACAAAAGGTGGAACTAGAAGAATAGACAGCGCCATTCTCGCGCATGTTGTCGATTCCGGACATCGTGTGGACCCCAACGAAGCTTTCCGTGTAATCTATAAGGTCCCATCGAGCTACCCTAAGCTACTAGGCCAGCGCCTGTTAGCGACAGCAGAAGCGGTCGCCATTAGGCTACGAAAGCCAATCTTATGCGCACAGACGAACCACGTTCAGGCTCCGCGCCTACAGTGGTCGAAGGTCGACTAACGCTGCACCTCTCCGCACCCTTTCCGCTCTCACCCCGGCTCCAATACTGACTACTATTACTCCCCCCTCCTCTCCCACATTCCCACACCCCGCCTGTGTTTTAAGGAGAACTTTTATCAATTTCTCTTATCGCTGACATGTTTTACTTCTACCCCGTTCCCGTATAACTGTACTGGCCCGACGAGAATTTGTCGAAGGCTACGTACGCTTGCCACCTCGTCTTCTGAAAGCCATTATTCCACGGCTTAAAAGTAGCAAAATTCGCAGTGTCCAGCATTTTCGAAGTTCGATGAAGAGTGTTTTGACAACTTCTTCGGGGTGTTTGCACAGACACAATTGGAGACCCTGGTGTGTTAAAGACCGTCCCACATTCGAAAAAATCCAAAGATTGGAGACCAAATGTGTCATAGGTCAAAAATATTATTTACGAAACTCTACTGTCCAATCTTGACCTACTTCCCCTGGACTACCACCAATTACGTGGCGACTAAATTCGAATGGTTCGCATGCTGCGGGGTCGAGATTGTTGCCTCGCATCTAGCGGCTGCTTTGAGCCGGACACCACTAGTAGCTTGAGGGGAATCCTCTCAAACTAAGTGGACACAAGGAAATTCTTCTTCGGCCACAGGGTGATTAAGACATGGTAAGCTCTGTCTTTGGGTGTCGTCATATCCTTATCCGTGGGTTCATTTACGAGGAAGCTCCACCAGTGCAAGGATATCTACCACCACGTCATCAGAAACCAACAAAATTTTCCCTTGCACTACGCGAACGTTTTACGTTGCAATGCATGCTACGTCCTACATTTAAGTAGCATCATTTTATGACCTCTCCGTTAAATGCCTCCACCAACCGTCCACATGCGAACCAGTGAATCCTGACCGAAGCATAATCTTTTGTTGTCAGTTTTCGCACCATACCGGTACTCACCACATAGCAAATGCTGTAGGGTTTGAGGTCTTGCTTGGCCTCCTTCTCATCAGCAATACGAGGTGGTTTGTCATGTCTTCCCTGCGTTTTGTTTCCTACCGCATTTACCTAATTGGTGCATCTAGCCCATTTGCAACAGCAGATTCTTTGCTGTGTGGTCCATTACATCTTTCGGTCCCCTATTTCTCCATGCCACGTTTTTGTTCTCGATGCATTATGCCTAACTTACTTCTTTTATGCCGAACTAGCATGGTTTTCTTGGATCATATCGGTTTGGATTAGTTGTATTACTTCTGGCTTAAGTGTCGCTTTTTCTTGGCTTAGCAGTTACGACTACCACATGGAGGCTTCACGGTCTCCTGTCGTATTGTCGCTCCTATATTCGTTATCTGATTACTATGCAGCTCTTAGGTTTTTTGAATTACCCATCGAACACTGTTGGTTCGTGTTTGGCGGCTTCCTTATAGTCCCCACCGTCGTTCTCAATGCACATCCTGTCTCTGGCTGGCCGTACTTTTCATTCGCCAAGACACCTAGGCTACGATCCTTCTCACCTTATAGGGAAATTTTCGGTAAAACAAATCACTTATCAGCGATAAGACGGTTCGATTGAAAAGACTTTATGCGTAGTTGGGAGCAGTCCTCGGCCCGCACTATGCGACCCACCAGTTACTGCATGCGAAGAAGTAGGGGGTACATAACCAATGTTTTACTCGACAGACTTGGTGCGGTTTGGGGACCTTACGTTTCGTCTAAACAGCGGTACACAGTGTCGATATTGCTGGCAGGTCAAGGTCCCAAAAATGTCCTCAGTGATTTACGGCTCTGACGCATTCATTTAACAAAGGAGTTCAGTTTGAATAACTTAATGTACAGGAAGTTACTTACATATGGGGAAATTCCGTTGTGTGCAGAGTTTATCCACTGGATTGTTGATGCAGAGGAAACATTTGAGCGATACCATGGTAGCTTCTGGCTCCATGATTCCCCCACTCGCCTCTCATTTTTTGCTCTTTAACGTTTCCTTCTTTTTCACTTTCTTCCCCTACGGCCTTTGTGTTATTAACTTTATCGATTAGCCAACTTTGCCCAAAACCCTAACCTTGCTGTTTCTGCATCGATTTTCTGCATGAATTCAAATCTGTTGTATTGTTCTCACTCGTTATCCCTCTTATGAAGCGACAGGAAGCAGCTGAAGAGCAGTCGCGAAATTTTTTGGTGCCAATAAATCCTGCTGTTCTTGCCTACTTCAGCTGAGCGATATGAGACAGAAAGATTTCCCATACTTTATTCAGGCTAGCTGTGTTCAGCCCAAACCATTCGCCACTGTGGGTAGATCACGCCGCGATTGCTTGCTTTTGCCTTTTGGAAGGAAAAAAAAGATAACGGCATTTATTATCCAGTTTGTCGCTACTGGCTCTAACATAGTTTCATCAGTTTGCATGTATCTATTGACTCATATGCATGTAAATATACATATCAAGGTAATAATTTCAGGTATTATTCGGTGCAGGACATGGAGTAAACTTCCCTGGACCCGGGTCAGAACCGAAAGTCCAACAGACATTTAAGTCGAAGACAATCAATTACTGTGGAATAATCATGTGGTGCTCACCCTATGAACAAGTAGCACTACTGGTAGTATAATTTCAACGAGACGAACGAAAAATTCAAGATGAAACACCTTATTGATCTACTAAAGTGCTGCTTGAAGACCTTCTCTGCCTTCAATGGAGCTGTTTACGAACAAGTTAAGGCTACAGCAATGGGGTGGCCGTTATCCAGCTTGATCGTTGAGACAGTGTTACAGCGTTGGCTTTTGACCGCTACTGACCACGACAGGGTGTGCGGTATGTTGATGACACATTTGTTATCACCAATCCGGACAGCATTAGGGAATATCTAAATCTGATCTTCCCAGATATCCAGGTCACGATGGAGGAAGAAGAAGATTGCCAGTTGCCGTTTCTAGACACAGTAGTTCAGAGAAAAGGCGATAGGAAGCTAAAAATAACGGTTTTCAGGAAAACGACGAATACGTCTTGTATTGTAAGTTCTCTTGTCAATAACCCCCTTCCACGCAATTACAGCTGCGTGACAACATTCCACTGACGTGTAGAAACCCATTACACTAAGCCATCACACAAGAAGTCATAGGTCCAGTTCCTGCTGTGGAAGCTCTTCACAGCGAACGGCTACCCTGGGAAATCCGTCGAAAAGTGCAGGCGAGAAACACGCAGAAGTAAACCGAATGGGCAACCAAAACCGAAATGCTGGCGCGCAGTGTCGTACATAGCCGGTGTGTCAGAAGAACTCACTATACTAATGAGCGAATTTGGGATTGGCGTCGCTCACAGACCTGAAGCAACAATACGCCGGCAACTCATGCACCCCAAGGACCCCATTCCCACCAGTCAGAAATCGGGGGTCATTTACCGCATAGACTACAATTGTGGTCAAACCAATTATTTTGGTGAGACACCTAAGCATGTTCGAAAGAGACTGCACAGGCATGGGTTGGCTATGAGAGGAAAGGATAAACTCTCCTCGGTAGCCGTCCACGCCTCCTCGCCAGAGCACGACTTTGACTTTGAGCGCGCCTGCTGCAGGAAGCCTGGCACTCAAATGAGGACTCCACCAATCGACATATCGAACTGTCAATCACTTGTCAAGCACTGCGTAAACAAATCAGTAGCGCAGTTGAAGGCCATCTCCGGCAGAAGTGAGCTAAATGTGCAATGAGTTATACGGTTTTTTGTTTTTTTTCCGATAGGCTAACGCGAGAGTTCGAAACGTCGAAGAAATAAACAATTGGTCCCGCAATCGCCTTCCCGTCTACTTTTTCTTCTTCTTCTTCTTCTTCTTCTTCTTCTTCTTCTTCTTCTTCTTCTTCCTCCTCCTCATCCTCGTCTTCTTCTTCTTCTAGTCGAAAGACAATCAAAAAGTACCAGATACACGTAGCGCACCGGCCGGCAACAACCTTACACACACAGCTTTTACACCCTAAGAACAGGGTTAACTACCTTGAAAGAAAAAGTGTTGTCTATAAAATCCCATGTTCTAGTTCTGATGCCGTCTATTGTGGCTAAACTGGGAAATCTATCTCAACCCCTATACATGAACATCAGTTAGCGGTAAAGAGACGCGACCATCTATCTCAGGTGGTCATGCACACACTAGACACTTGGCACAAACTTGCATGGGAAAACACTCGCATTGTTGGCGCCTGCCCAATAAGCAAAGGCCGCGAATTCCCGGAGGCAATGCACTCAGATGAGGCATGCATCAACCGGCATATCGATTTAGATGCCACATACAAAATCGTTAAGGACAAATTCAAACTGACTCAACCAATCCCGAGAAGATGACTTTAACAATCATAGAATCCTTTTGTCAGACTCGGTCTATAAGTTAATTGTTTTTGCACGCCCGTTGTCTGAAGACGAGCTGGGGAACCAGTCTCAAAAATTTGCACAATGAAGTTTACTGTTTCCCAAAGAATCCCATCTTCCTAATGTATACATGTATACACATGGCCATTTTTGGCTTGTTGGCCGCCGTCAATCCGAGGCGTGCAACACCTGGCATTCGATCCCGCGACCGCGGGGGAAAGAGGTCACACGTGTGCACCAGCAATCGCCCACGGGGAGACCAAAGACAATCCTCAGCCGAAGGCAGGTCAGAATTTGTGCGTAAGGCATGCCTGTGACACGGGACAGGCGGCGAGACAGAACAGTTCAAGACTAGCATGAACTGACACCCCCATTACTCTGATAATGGAAATCAGGAAGTTTCCCAAGCGTCAACACATGCACAGTGAAATCCGAAAAATCGCCCCTTAATCCTTGTCTTCATTTAGGGAGGATGAACGATATAATTTAACTGGACCTTAAATCTTCAATCATTGCGGCTTTTGAATTTCTTCAGAAGTCAGTCCAAACATTCCACGATGTCATGGACTCAGATTTCTCTGACATCCGGTTTACAATGGTGGCGGAAATCAACAACCAACAGCCGTTCCTTGACGTCTTCCTGCATCGAAAATCCAACGGACACCTAAAAACAATGGTCCAAGGAATGTTTCTAATACACGCAAAACCCCTAGCTACCAAAGTAAGCACCCCTTAAGCCGCAAACGCAACGGAGTGCGAACACTCTGCAGAAGTGCAGAGACACTACAACGAGCCGCAGAACAAAAGCCGGAATTACGTTACCTCCAGCGCGTCTTCATGGCCAACGGGTGTCCTCGCCACTTCATCGAACGCGGCTGGTAGGCCGGCCAAAAATATGTAAGCGTCTCCATGCATCCACGGTGTTTCTGGTGCGGTCTTCCGTCTGATAAGACTGTTAAGGATCGGCATCGTCTTTCCTTGTCGTCGGGGCTCAGAATGGACTGTGTGTATCGTGACTAGTCCTCATCTTGGTTGAGCACGTTACACCTGTGTAATGAACCGTAACCTCACGCGAGCGCTACTATCATCTATGGGATTGGTGTTGTTGGACCAACTTTGACTATGCATAGTGGTGAGTTAAAACGTAGTGTCTTGTTTGTTATAATTTAGCTTTCTTATAAAATTACTGAACATAAGAAATAGGCAATAAGTACAAATAAAGTGGAATGATGATGACTAACGTTTGCTCTGTTTTCTTTTCACAATGCCACTCGACCAATCACAACGCCGGATTCGAATCTTTGGACTACTGCAACGCCTGAGACCCTATAAATACCCCAGAAGGCTAACGAAGTAGCCGAAGTAGGACGCTCGAGCACTGGTGTAGTAGGCGGACCGCACTGGGGTTTCAGTTGGGGGTCTGGTTTCGGACTTATGTCGACTGACTCGGTAGAAGGAGATGGAGACGGGGCCGTTTTCCTCTTTCCTGAACGGTTGGGCTTAGATCTTGCCATCAGACGACCAGACAACGGCACAACGTACAGAAGTGGTTCGAACAGTCAAAGAGAATGTAACAGGAACGAAATATTGGAAAAGGGAGAGATACGAAAACGAGAGGGCAAGGTGGGGGATCAAGAACGTGGAAAGTCTCAGGGGGTAGAGGAGGGAAGAGGAAACACTTGCTGGTCAGGTGGGTGGCCTCGGAGGTACGACATCCACGGGGTTTTGGGTGTTTCCTTGTTCACGTTCGCCGTCTTCACCTGAAACACCAGAGAGAAGGCGTACTCAAACCACGGCACGAAACCTCCCGCCTCCTTTTCTTTTCCCGCTCGCCCGTTCTTCCTCTCTTTTAAACAAACTTGCCTTTTCGGTTCTTACATACCCCCCTCCTCAGATGGAGCCCTGTCCGCAGGGCTGTCTGGCTGGGTCATGTCCACTGTTTCTTCAACCACTGGGGTGGGAACTAAATGTGGGGGAATGATGGGGGTTACGTCCGCGGTGGCGGTGGGTAGTCGCCCTCTATAGGGTCTTAGCTTGTCGAAGTGGGTGGTGAAGGTGGGTCCGTCGGGGCGTGAAGCATCGCGCAATACATACGTGGTGGGGTGTATGACATCGACAACAACGAATGGTCCTTCCCACGAGTGAAAGAACTTGGCCGCCGTTCCTAAGGGTGGTACTGGTAGGAAACGCCAAACCAAATCGCCTAGTTGGTAAGGGTTGCCGTGGACTTGACGGTCAAAGTATGTTTTCTGTCGTTCGGCGGCCGCTCCTAGGTGGTTACGGGCGAGTGTGTAGGTGGAGCGTAGCAAATCCTGCAGCTGCCAAACGTAGCTATCTGGTGCGTATTCGTTTGCGGCAGGTTGTGGGAACCGTGAATCTGCGGGAAGGCGAAATTGACGTCCGGTTAGCATAAAGAAAGGTGGGTAGCCCGTCGACGTGTGTGTGTTAGCGCGGTACGCCATCATGGCACACGGTAGTCGTTTATCCCAGTCTTGGGGGTGATGGTCTTCCGCGAACGCCTTCAACAGTTGATTCAAGGTACGGTTAGTTCGTTCAACCAATCCGTTGCCTTCGGGATGTGCTGGAGTGGTGCGAGTTTTGTAGATATCGAGGAGGTCACAAACCTCTTGCAGCAGTTTGCTGTCGAAGTTAGCCCCGCAGTCGGTATGTATTGACAACGGAACACCGAACCGGCAAATCCAGTTGTTAAAGATTGCGTTGGTGAGCGACACTGCGTCCTGTCGTAATAGCGGCACAGCCTCTGCCCATTTGGTGAAATAATCCACCATCACCAGTATGAACCGATGACCGGTTGTCGTAAAGCGGAGGGGCCCGATGATGTCCAGGCCCAGCCGCTGGAACGGAAAGCTAGTGTGCATGGGTTGCAACGGTGCACGTGGGAGTTGTCTAGGTGCCTTGAACGTCGCGCACGTGGTGCATGTATTGCAGAAGGTGGCGACGTGTTCTCGTAGATGGGGCCACCAAAATCGCTGCCGAGTGGCGGCTTCTGTCTTGGCTTGTCCGACGTGGCCTAACTCGTTGTGTAGATCCGTGAGGACCCCGTGTATGAGGCTGCCTGGTACTACTACTCTGTCGGTTTTCGTGCTCTCGTCCTTAATGAGAAGGATATCTTCGTCGATATGCAGCCGTGGCCATTGGCTCCGCAGTATATGTGCTTCTTCTGACGACCCACGCAATTCATCGTCCGTAGGACGGTGTCGCCGGTTTAACAGGTGGTCGTAAACTACTGCGGTATCGGGGTCCGTGCTCTGGGCTATTGCCCAGTGATGTCTAGCTGGTTCGCTGGCGTAAATGGCGTTTATTTCGCCTAACGCGCGGTCTTCATCGTGTGTGGCTGGTGTTGTTGGCCGTCGGGACAAGGCGTCGGCGTTGCCGTGCTGTTTCCCGGGGCGGTATGTACAAGTGAAATGATATTCCTGTAGCATTTCCTGCCAGCGAGCAAGTTGACCCTCTGCGTCCTTCATGTTTTGTAGCCATTGCAGGGCCTCTTGGTCGGAGCGTATGACAAACGGCTTTCCTAGCAGATATGGCCGGAATTGTTTAACGAAGGTGACAATGGCCAATAATTCACGTCGATATGTGCAGTAATTTCGTTGGGGCTTACTGAGTGTTTTACTAGCGAAACAGATAACGCGTTCTAGGCCGTTATCGTCGGTTTGCGAAAGTACACCTCCCATGGCGAAGGCGCTGGCGTCCGTGTCCATTACGAAGGGTGGCGCCGTCTCGGTGGTATTGGGGAGCATAAGTATCGGTGCTCTCGACAGGCGGGTTCTCAGCTCATCAAACGCGGCCTGGCATTCGTCCGTCCAACGAAATTCGCGCCCTTTTTCTGTAAGTCGGTGTAACGGACGCGCAATACCTGCAAAATCGCGAATAAACCGTCTGTAATAGGACGCCAACCCGATAAAGCTTCTGACTTCCGTGGTGGAGTTTGGCGTCGGCCAAGTGAGGATAGTTTCCGCCTTTTCAGCTGAGACTTTGATACCCGACGGGCTGACACCGTGTCCTAGGTAATTAACCTTTTCTCGCAGGAATTGACACTTCTGTGGGTTAAGCGTAAGGCCTGCCTCGCGCAACGCTAGGAGCACGGCGCGTAGATTATCGTTATGCTGGGCGATAGTTTTGCCGAAGACAATAACGTCGTCAAGGTAGATGAGGCACTGGCGCGGATAGAGGTGTGACAACACTACCTGCATCAGCCGTTGGAATGTAGCAGCCGCGTTACAGAGGCCGAAAGGCATCGTTTCGAATTCGTACAATCCTTGTGGGAGGATGAACGCCGTTTTTTGGCGGTCTGCTGGCTCTACTTCCACTTGCCAATAGCCGGACTTTAGGTCCAAAGTGGAGAACCATCGGGACCCAGCTAAGGCATCAAGTGTACACTCGATACGTGGTAGAGGGAACGAATCTCGTGTGGTCACGGCATTCAAGCGTCTGTAGTCGATACAGAAACGTATTTTGCCGTCCTTCTTTGGAACTAAAGTCACTGGTGATGCCCAAGGCAAACGGGAGGGTTTTATCACCCCCTTCGCCAACATACTATCTAATAACGTATCGACCTCCTTCTGCAAATGGGCTGGGATGCGCCGTGGCGGTTGCCAAATTGGTTTCGCTGTGCCTGTTTCAATAGCGTGTCTTATACAACTGGTTCTGCCCTAAGTGTACTCGTCCCACGCAAAGACATCGTGAAACCCAAGTAACATCCGTTTAAGTGTCTCTGTCTCTACATCGGCCCGATCTGTCGTGGGTAGTATATCGTCGATAGACGTCGGGGGAATTTTAACTGCCTCTTGGATTGCGGCACAGGCGGCCGTTTCGCCTACGATCTGGGGTTCAGCCGGGCCTTCCGCGTCGGTATGTCGGAACTCAACTCGCCCATTCCGTACGTCAATGTGGCATTCGTAACGCGCGAGGAAATCAGTCCCGAGGAGTATGTCCCACGTGAGATGGGGTGTTATGATAAAATTATGTTCGGCTGTGAAATAGGGGAGAGTCACGGTGAGCGGCACGGTCCCATGGTGTATTAAGCGTGATCCGTCGGCCGTGGTCAATCTCCCTGGGTGGTGAATGTCATTACGCTGGCGCTGCATGCCCGGTTGTAAGACCCGTGGGTTAACTAGGGATACCGTCGCTCCCGTATCAATCAACGCCTTTACAGTCTGACCAGCTACGGTTACTGTGGCATAAAAAGGGGTAACTGATAAAGTAGAGCTGGTGCATGAAGTAATAGAGACCGTACCCGTTGGCCTTTGACAGGTGCAGATGTGGTTTCTGGGAAGCATTTGCCCACCTGGCCGGCGAAACGGTCCTCCTCGACGATTGAAGGGTGGTCGTGTTTGGCCGTTGAAACGTCGTGGGGGATAGAAGGTACCTGGTCCCGCAGACGTAGGGTGGGCATCTCGACCGTGCGCATCTTCAGGGGGGAGGGGACGGGAGGTTGGAGGGCATAATCGCAGGTAGCGTTCGGCCCTGGTGACGGCCTCTTGTAAACTGTCCGGCGGCTGCAACAACAGTGACCGTGAAAGGTCGGATGTCGGCAGCGCTTTAATAAAATAATAGAGTACGGTGTTATCCTTATCTGCAGAGTCCAAAGAGGGAAAAGCCACCGTTGTCAGGCGTTGCAGATCCTCTACCAGCTGGTTAAGGGTTTCCTCTTGGTTCAACCTTCGTTTCTGCAACTGTTCCATGGCGTCGCCGAAGAAGTAGGTATGGCTAAACAGGTTAGCCAGGCGTTGGCAAAGCGCGTCAAAGGGGAGATCGGCGTCGAGACCAGCGTCGAGCGCCTTATCCAACTGTTTAGGCGTAAGGGCCTTGAGTAACGTCCAGGGCCTGTCGGCCTCTGCGATCTCCCGCAAATAGAACTTCGCTCGTCTTAGCCACACCGTGAAGGACTCGGAACCATCGTAGGGTGGTATGTCGACGGTGCGCGTTGGATTTATTTTGTT